TCTTTCAGAAGGTGATGTTTTGGTCAGACATTTTCCTAGTGTCCATACGAAATGGAACGCACTCGGTTGGAGAATCTCATCTGACCGTGATAAAGAGCAGATGAAAAAGGGGTGATGTCTGAAAACTTCTGGGGTTTAATGTCACCCACAGGGTTTTGATTAGTTGTCTCAGGTTACAAAGACATGGTCAAATTCATGCGTTGGATGAATTAGATTTGCAGAGATTTCAAAAGGTTTGAACAGGAATGAGCCAGTTGTGTAAGGTTATTCATTTAGGTTATTTATTTATTTTTAGGTTAGTTATTTTTTGGTGAGTGGGTGTGAGTCTTAGTACAGCTGTACAGATAGGCTCCGACCTTGCGCACATGCATTGCTGTTATCAAATGACCTACATGCTTCATTTCTGTTGTGCCGTTGGCATAACAAACTGGCTGGTCTTGTAGGGGATGAGGTTGAATGCCTGTATACAGAGGCTTTGTGTAGTAGCCATCTTGCAGGGCAGTTCTTTTGCTCCTCAGAAAAGCCTTCACGTATTCCCTGTGGAACAAAAGCACCGGCCTGCAAGATGGCGGCCATGCAAACACTCTATTGCTATAACGAAATCCTACAGTGTTTCTCCCGTGCTCACGTCTGGGTTTTGTCTGTCTGTTTGTCTTCCCCACTGCCTAGTTGGACAGTCATGGTAATGGCCACCAACCCTCAGTCTGCGCCAACAGCTGCGCCTGCCGGTGCGCAGAGAACTGCGGCGCCCAACACGTCTGACGCCAGTGTCGCAGGAAACAACGCCGTGGTCAGTCCCGAGTCCGTCGGCCGAGAGTTCGTGCGTCAGTATTACACGCTGTTGAACCGAGGGCCTGAGCACTTACACAGGTTAGTGTATTGTGTTTTCATATTCTCACATTTTAAGATTGCATTTTAATACATGCTTAATTAAATGTAGTCCCTGATTTCAACATGAGATTTAATTTTTGTTCTTGGTTAGTTCTGATGATGATCCATGCGAGTTGTTAGCTGAATCTTATTTTCAGTGCCGTAGGTCAACAATTGATACCTTTTTGCTGCTAAAATTGGGATAAAAGCTTAGAATGCCCTGTCACATGTTCGGAACTGAGTGCTGGTGATTTGTACGCGGTGAGCTAAATGTGATCAATTTTATTGTTTGCTCATTCACAATGCTCATTGAGTCTCACTTTGTAGAAATTACTGACTCGTGCGAGAATTGTGTATTTAACGAAACCACGTAATGGGAAAATATGGTAACTGAAATCAAGTTGTAATGTGGGCAATCTACAATACCGTGCACCACGAGGGACCCTTCCTCAAGCGATTTGAAGAACATATGTCACTCCACATATTGGGGAATTTTTGATAGATTGAGAAATTCTATGCTCTGGAAAGAAAGACAGGATAATTTAAAACTGTCCCTAGAAATACAAGTCTTCTTTCCTGACGGACGTCGGGAATAATTGCCCCCTCGCAGCCAGTGAGTCGACTTTGTTCCCCATTTCCCACAGCCCACTGTATTGCATGGAGTTGCTGGTACTACATTCGTTTTGCTCCAAGTTGTTTGATGTTATTTGGGAACATATAAAATGGAATATGGCTCACTTTCCAATCTAGTGCCCTGCTCGTAGTGTTTGTGGAGAAGTGATACAGATTTCACTGGTCCTCGGTCTTAAAACCCTCCCCTGGAATAGTGAAGTTCCGAGTCACTGACTTGCCTTGGCCACCCTATACAACTTGTCTCTTTTTCCCCCCTCCCCCGACTGACTCACCGTCGGCTCGGCAAGAGTTGACAGAGGGGAAATGGATGATTTTGCAGCGGGTGGAAACGAAAAGGAAATGGTTGGCACGAACTGGAACATGACATGAGTGCCATGCCGTATGAGCCGCCAATTTACGACGAAGGGCCAAGGAAATACAGTAATAATAGACTTCCACTCGAAACACCTCTTGGGGCCACAAGTGCCATGCAGGAACTGCCAGGATTTTTCATCCTTCAGTGGGAACTGGAACAATCTTGAAATACGTCTTTTGGGAAAAAAAAAACGTGTGCTGTGTAATTGTCTACGAATAGAGATATGAAATTTCAAATTCAATTTAGTTGTTACATTTTTGTCCTAAGGAATTATGTTCTGGAATTTTTAGTTGGGAATTTGCTGGGGCATTTTCAGATGTTTGGTGCGTAGCGCTTTAAGAAAGTATGAGGCAAATATTCAATTTTAAGAAAAACTTTGAAATTCTTCTTGTTCGTTTTACATACACATTCATAACATATCAACATAATATAATATAACATCACAGTATTTAGGCATTCTGTTTGTATTCAAATGCTTTATATAATTAATTTGGGACAATTATCAAGTGTTTACTCGTTATGTACTTCAATAACAGGAATTTGTCAAGTTTCAGTTAAAGTTTGAAGAGGATTGATAGCATGCTAGAACTTTACATACACGTACGTGTATTAGAGTGTTTGACCATCGTGGGGTTAAAATTACCGTCAATACTGGTTGTGACGACTTGTTGAGGAGAGCGATCAGGAGTGGGACAAAGGAGTTTGTGAACCTAGTTTTGCAGCAGTTCACTGATCGGTAGCATTTTCTGGATCTCATAAGAACATCCTGTGAATGAAAGGGGGCGAGTTCCACCATTTGGGATTTCCTCGCCTTTTGTCAAACCGTTGTCAGTACACAATTGGACTATAGATTCATCTCCTCTCCCATCATCTTTCCAGCCTGTCCGAAGACCCTTTGCAACTTCTCCAAGTCCTCCTTTCTGCTAATATTAAATTTCTCTTGTGGTTTCATGGTTGGGATGCAATTTGAGTTTTCCTGAAATAAAACAATCATTTTTGTGTTAAGAAAATCACTTCATCGACCGTTATATTTAAAGTGCAGTCTCAATTGTGTACATTTACGGATGATGTTTTCAACTTTGGCCTTCTGTTTAGTGTTTTATTCGGTCGGCCCCTCGTCATTCGGAGTGTTTTTGATGCCGGAAACTTTTCTAAGTCTTTCTGCGGCTGAATCAAAATTTGGATATCTGTTAAGAGTGAGGTTTCAACCATTAATTCTGTCCATGGTAACAAGGAATTTTTTGTGGTCAGACTTTGAGTGACATTGGTAGATGAATAAACCGTTACTGGTGACGGTGACTTTCAAAATACTGTATCTGGTAGCATTAGCATTTTCCAGGAATAGGGTTTCACCAGCAGTAATTAAATGACAGAAAACAGGCTGTATGCTAATTGTGAATACTTTACTGGTGTTCTGTATTAGAGAACCGGATTCAGGATTTGTTCCATCTTGCGGGGAATGACCACTTAACGCTCTAGTCATTAAATATAGTTCTATGGAAAAAAAAATTGGAACAAAGAGAAATCTTCGTTGAGAATAGATGGCTAAAATTATATATGGAACCAAAAGGAATCTCTCTTGAGAATGGATATAGGACTAATATGTGGACGTTACCAGGCTGAGGAAGTAAATAGCGGTGTATTTATGGGACAGTAACAATGCTTGAAGCAACCTGTAGGATGCCCGACATATTTTGGATGCACGTGTACATTCCAGCTCTGTCAATCAACCGCTGATGAAAAGGAAATGTTCACATTCCCAAGTCCTTGTTCCTTATTTTGCATGACATACAGGGTTCATGTTACCGGGGTTATTTTGGCAATTCCCGAAGACCTTGTCTGAAAGGTTTTTGACTGTATGTGCTCGCCGTGTACTAAATTTCAGTGAACTGCATGTCTGTATGTTAGTTACCATTTCGCCTGACTTGTCTCTGGACAGGTTCTATCTGAATAACTCGTCGTTTGTGCATGGTGGTGTGGATCATGACGGCAACCTGGATGAGCCAGTCTATGGCCAGATGGTAAGTTGCCAAGGCAACAGCCACATTGTTTTGTAGGACCTACATGTGTGTGATTGTACCAGGGTATTGATGCAGTGTTAAAGTGGAGCTAGCTGGATATTGGACTGCATGATTAGGAATCAACAACGGATACAGAATTTTTATCTTTCACTGTCCTCAAATGTCTCAAATCCTTCAAAATCAACAGGAACATGTGGGAGGATTTAAAGGGCTGAGGAAAAAAGACAGGGCAGTGCTGAATATCAGATCATCCGAATATTCAATTGATTATCAAATATTCAAATAGTATTTTCCAAATTTGAATATTCAAATGCAAAATTCGTGAAAAGGAAGGGAGAATTTTCTTTTGTTTCAAATGAAGAAAATTTCACAATGGAGGCTTGTTTCAAGCAGATTCAAATGAAAAGCCACAGAAATCCTACAACTCAAAAAGTAAATTATTCATTGAAAGATTTAAAAGGACTGGAAATTTTCAATAGGGCAAGAAGTCTTGTTCGTCTCATAAATCTTGCTCATCCGTAGCTGGAGGTACTCCTAGATATGAGAAGCTATTATAGTGATTATAATGTACAATTGTGTGCATTATTGCAATTGATTTTGAATATGGTTTAATCGTCAACAATCTGCCGGTCAGTACAACCAAATATTTGGATATTCAAACGAATTGAAGGTCAGATATTTGAATAGTGAATTATTTTGGATGGACTCGGCCCATGGGTAGAATCCATCCAATGTTACTTTACGTTGTCTTGATGCTTGATGCCCACTGAAGGTCTTTAGTACCTAGAATATGCTGTCCTTCACAAAGGAAGATTTTGAAGTGAAAATTTGTTCTGGAGTTACCGGTCAAGTGTTTTGCTGAGTTGACCGTCTCTGACTCTTTCTGCTTCCCCCTTCCCCCTCACCAGGACATCAATGAGAAGATCTTGTCTCTCAACTTCCGTGACTGTCATGCTAAGATCAGGCAGGTGGATAGCCACGCGACACTGGGGGAAGGTGTCGTTGTGCAGGTCAGTGATGCCCCAGTTGGGTTTCGGCCAGGATTTAAAAAATATGATTTTCAAATACCATGTCAGGACTTTTCTTCATAAACTTGGGATGTAAGATCATTGATTGCAAATTCCAGAAATCAGATGCTGACTGAGCCTGTATGGACAGTCAAACATGCACTGCATGCATGCAGACATTTTCAATGTCGAGACTTCATATACAGTCACTCTGAATACCAAAATCCGATCTTAATTTTGGGGCTTGTCTCCCTTTTTTTGGCGGCACAGGTGACCGGAGAGCTGTCCAACAACGGTGAACCGATGCGTCGCTTCATGCAGACTTTCGTCCTGGCGCCCCAGTCTGCCAAGAAGTACTACGTGCGCAACGACATCTTTCGGTACCAGGATGAGGTCTTCAACGACTCCGATTCGGAGCCAGAAAATGACGGATGCGGCAGTGGTGAGTCGCTCTCGTACTTAATCCGGACGTTGTGGATGTGTGATAAAGTTGTTGACGCGTGGCTGAATGTTGTTTTTACATTCGTCATTGTAATTTTTTGGTCTTGGCTTTCCCTCTCACAGTTTCTGAGGGAGAGGAAGCTCCGGCTGAACGCCCCATCAGCACGGACATCTCGGTGGCGGATCCTGCAGTGACCCCGTACTATGAAGGGCACCAGGCTGTGGTCAGGTGAGCAATGGCGCTATTTTTTGCGAGAGGCCTTAGCCCCAGCTGGGAAAAATAAATGCTGAGATTTTTGGTATCTTTTGATCGAGCCGAAAACGATTACTGCAGTGTTTTTAAATTATGCTGGCATCAGTAGACTGGTTGCCATAGAAATGCTGTTGAAATAGAGCAGTGTTGAAAAGTTAGAATGACCTGGTATTCCTTACTTTCCAGAATTTATGCTTGGGGAAAGTCCAAATTCCAGTCTTGGCACAAACACGATATATTCTTCCAATAGAAGCAAAAATGAATTCATTCTACCCTACCGTAGGTCCCCCCGAACAGTTCTTTGTCTTCTGTCCGTGATTTGAAGGAAATAATTAATGTACTTTTTTTTTTAGAAGAACTCTTCCTTCTGTGACGAGAAATGAGTAACCATTTTTCCCCACCTTCTTTTTTTTTTTTTTCTGTGGACAGCAACGGCACTGCCCACCTGGAATCCCCGGAGGCGACCCCGAGCAAGCCGGCCGAGATGAGCGATGCGGTCGGCATGGAGATCACCCAGGAGTCGCCTCCGGCAATGAGCGACGAGGGGGCGGCCCAGCCACCGCCTCCTGCCATGGAGAACCACGAGCAGGAGACGGAGGAGGAACAGCCGGAACCGGAGGAGCCTGCCGACAAGGGTGAGACATCGAAACTGATATTTTATTTTAAAACGCGCTCTGAAAATTACAATACCTGTAATTATGAGAATGTCGACATATCGACATGGCGTGCACTGTTCAGATACCCGATCCTGGCACCTACATTATTAGTACCCCTTCCTGTCGGATCCGTAAACATTCCCTAAATCCACCTCAGGTCCTTGGAGAGTGTATACAGCTTGATGCTGGTGTGTCGGGCGCAGGCAAATGTTAAAATGTGAAGCATGTCTCAACACAACTCCGGCCGACATCCAAATATGCATATCCCCCCCCCCCCTTGATTCTGTCCAAGAAGTCTGCCAGTGTCGACTGTATGCTTAACTTGAACTGGAACTTGGCCGCCATGCCGCTGCTTATCGTGAATCGTGAAGGCGAGTATTGTGTCATGGACACACCTGGAGTGTATGATGAAAAATACAAAGCCCTGCTAACTTGCAAACCATGTGGAATTAATGATCCCCATGAAAGGATTCATGTAGGTTCTTTCCAGGGTTCAGCACCGTTGCATGTTCATGACCTTTGACCCATTGGTATGAAGTCTGTTATCATTTGATTCCAGACTGTGGAATGTCACACATACCTGCTCTTTTGTCGTGTTTCAATTGTATAGCTGTAGCCTGTACATGGAGTGGAAGTGTGTGGAACGTCTAAAGTGTAATGTCTGAAATCAGTGAAGGTAGCTCAACGTTAAAGTGCCTCAGGGCTGAAGTGCCTTTCTGGAGAGACTTCACATTTAAACAGTTTTGTTGTGTTTTGGGAACGATTTGGCTCACTCTCAAGGAACAAGCGGGTGTTCTTGTATCAAGATTTTTGCCTCTTGAAGGGATTCGTCTTTTGTGTGTTAATGCTGTAATGTGGAACTTCGACACCCCTGATGGCTAGACAAAGTGGACTTTTTGTTTTGGGCAAGCACGCGCAGTGTGGGCCATGTGCGAATAGTTCTGAGTATGCACACAGCTATGGAAAAGGACCAGATAGCAGTATGTCTGCCACCACCAAGCGTCTCAAAGTCTGCCATTTGATTACGTATAGTTCATATTTGGAGTCGGTTTGCTTTTGATGGATGTGCTAAAGGATTTGTCAAATTCTGTGTTTGTTTTGCAGGGCCCAAGGTGCCATCTTGGGCTGACAAGGCCAGGAATGTCCCTACGGCCGCCTCCACTGCGCCAAGTACCAGCTACCCCTCGATGCAGGTAAGCCTTATTTGGTATATGTAGCATGAGCATTTTCATTGGTTGCCATGCAGCTCGATGGCTCTTGCTTTCCCCATAATAAAGGTGATTTTTGGTTGGCTGCTGATCCATCTTTGCCCGGTAAACTCTATGTACCTTGGATACTGGGCACAGTAAACCAGTGGTTGCTGAATGGTTGCTGAGCAGCCTTGGTCAAAATTGGCCAACTTCTCAAATGTACTGCATGTGCACACCACGATGCAGTGGTATGCTGTGTGAATACTTCAAGTGGACAAAGTCAGAAAGTTGTAAAGATAACCACGTCTTGACTTTTTAAGATTTGGGCAGTTTACTGCTCGTGCCAATTCAATATATTTATCCCATTCTATTTATTGTTGTAAATTTCATGTGTGAACATTGTAAATTGCGAAATATATATTGGACTGTATTACTTGTGGATTTTGATATATTTATCAAATTAAAAAACACTGGTCTCCCTTCTGATTTGAGTGCCAAACCATTTTGTATTCTCTGGACTGAATATCATGCAAGTAAACAATTGGGAGTGAAACACCTTGGCTGTTGACGGGAAAATGTATCATTTGAAAGGATTGCAATTAGTTTTGTAAGGTGTAAAGATTGATTGAATACGAAATTTGAAGAAGTAGCGGATCTGTTTTTTGGGATCAGGCCCAGGGGTCTCCCAACCAGAAGCCGGCCGAACCTTCCGCCCCGATCAGCGGCCCTGGTGGCCCACCCCGCAGCGGTGGGATAGAGCCCCTCCCCCAGCGAGAACCCCGCCGGGACCGGGACAGGGAGGGGCCGCGGGACCAGCGAATGCGGCCCACAGGCGGCAGGCGACCCATGGAGGGGCCGGACCAGGGCAGCCGGCCGCGGGCATCCCAGATCCCCGATAGTCACCAGCTGTTTGTGGGCAACCTGCCCCAGGATGTCAACGATGACGAGCTGAGGGACTTCTTCTCGAGTAAGGAAAGACGATTTTTTGGTCACACTTTAAACCGACAAGGACTGTGTTTTACTTTTGGGGGACTTTGTCATGGGGGACAACATCTTATCTGGCCAATGACAAAATGAAACATTTTCTGAAACTTGGTTAGTATAAAGACATCCATTATAAGTATATCTGAAGGTATAATACGAGCAAACAGAGAAGTTTTCTTATGGTTATTTTTCTTTATAAGCTTTGACGTGTTTGGGCATCTGCATTTAACTTGATCAGATGTCAATGGGAACAGTTAACATTTTGGGCTGACATGTCTTTGAGAAATGTACGTTTTGCAAGAATGGTATGTATGATTGTCATAAAATTGATTCCGAAGTGACTGCAAGACAGCAGTAGAAAAAGAAAGCTTGAAGGCTGGATAGGTTACGATGCATTGCGACTATATCAGAGAAAATCTGCCCCCACCTCCTTTAGGGCTGACGTCCCTTCCCTGAACCCGTGAGCCCACGGTTATTCATTGGCTAGGTGGCTGGACCCTGCACCTGGAATGCACAGAGTGGATAGTCAGTGAATTTGTTTTAAATTTCGTGAGTTAACGTGGCTGTAGAGAAAGATTTGTTACAATAAGTGCATGCCGTTGCCCACTTTGCATCTTTGTGTGTTGGTCAGGTGTAGATTTTTCCTTGGGTTTTTTTCTTTTTTTGTTTTTTGCAGACGGTTTTGAAATTTTGAATGTTTTTAATTTACTGCAGCTTTCGGCAACGTGGTCGATATGCGGATCAACAGGAACACTGGTCCTAAGCCCCTGCCCTACTTTGGCTTCATCGTGTTCTCAGACCGCACCCCGGTGCAGACAATCCTGAAGCAGAAGACGAAAGGGGTAAGTGCCTGTATCCAGCCTCCTGAGTTCCGGCAGAGATGACTAAAAATTGAAGTGTGGCACAGGAGTGTGTTGACGCTGTGCAGGAACTGAAAATTAGTAGTTGGGTTAACCTTCTAAATCTGCCATCAACTTTCCAAATTAAGGTATAGTTTGGCTTCTCCGGCCTTAGCTTTAGGCTCTGCATAAGAAACTGACCGGCTCTTGGCGCAGAATGTAGAATATCTCTCTCCCTCTTGGGTTTGGGTCTTTGTGAAATGGGAATTTTTTTTTTTTTCCCTAACACAACATCTTGGGGAGTTGGGTAAATAGTTCTTGAATTCAGAGTTTGGAGTTCGTCTTAGTGTACATGTTTCTCATCTTTGTATTCAGCCCATCTTGCTTCGTGGCGAGCACCGTCTCAACGTCGAAGAGAAGAAAACCAAGAGGCCCGGCAGCGGGGGCCCTCCTAGGGGCGGAGCTGCTGGGAGGGGTGGCCCGAGAGGAGGCATGGGGGGCGGCATCAACAAGGGAGGTGGTCCTGGACGTGGCTACAACCCGCAGCGCTAAGTTTTGGGTACCTGGACCCCCGGGTGCCAATTTCATACAGCCACTAAGCAGAAATTTTGCACAGTAAGCAAACATGGGCAGGAAACCAGTCACTTACTCACACGGTGCATGGCATTTGGCTGGTAACCTACTTTGGTGTGAGCAGATTTTTTTCTGCGATGCAGCTGGATGAAACTGGCCGCCTGGATTAATGCTGGTGAACTGAGGGGTGGAGACAGGAATCGAATGGTGGGGGGGGGAGCAAGTGTCAACATTTTCTAAAGCAATGCAAGACTCAACATTACGGAAACTGTCCGGCTCCTATACGGTCCACTCTTTTGACAGGGAAGTGATTCTAAGTGGATTGGAGAAGATAAAGAGATGATAGTGCATGTTTTGGCATTGTATTTGTAAAACGTTGCAGAAATAGAAAAGTCCATTTTCAACGTTTTTGAATATTTCGTATCAGTTGACATTTATATTTGTATTTTTCTAAGTCCTTGTTTTTGTTGTGGTTCAGGGGATAACATGCTTAATCACCATCCGTTCCTGATCTCGACCCACAGTGGCCCAAGTAACCGACGTTCTCTGAAACTACCGTGTTGTTAACATGAGTTGTGTGTTTTGTATGCAATTCTGAAGGCACCCACAGTTAGTGTAGTCTGTTTCTGTCCCGGTGAATGTTTCTCTGGTCTTGTTAAATGAATAAAAAAAAAACCCAGTAGTCGGGCAGTTTGCCCTGTAAAAATGTCCCTTGTTTTGGTTTGTGACTGTTCTGATCAACCCTAGGTTTTATGCGTAAAAAGACAGTGCCTTCTTTATCCGATATAGCATTCTCTATGGATTGACAGCAGTTCTCCAAGTATTTGTATACACAAGACGCAAGTTCAGCACACACTGATGATTTTTGCACGAGAACAAAGCAGCAGCGATTCTATTGGTTTTCTCATGTAGGTCGGAGGTGTGAGGACCTTTTGATATTCATACATGTCTCCTTTCTTTGGCAAACTTATCGAGACGTGCTTAAACTGTTTGCCTTGCTCGTCTGTTATTGTGGGAAGCAGTTCTTGAGATCTGCAAAAAAAAGTGGGGATAAAAGTATTTATGTGGACAATACTTACCAAAGCCTGTTTTCCCCGAAGAAAATCTAATGCAAGAGACCCAGAGTGTGTAATCACCATAGTTGTTTTTATAGCGGTGCCAGATTTTTTCCCCCTGTTTATCCCTTGCATTCAGAATTGCATGCTAAAAAACTTAACTTTGTAGTCTGTCTGCTGTAGTACTTCTGTAATTTCTTTTGTGATGGAAAATTCTTACCTTTGCTAATCGTTTTTCGCCACACAGATTTCCTAGCTTGTTTTTGTGGTTTTTTTAATCAACATCTTTCTGTTAACGTGCCGAGTTATTTGGAGTATGAAACCTTATCTCAAGAGGTTTTTGAATGTAAAATGTGAGATGATTTGCAAAAGAAATTGACACAAGTCACAGTATTGGTTCCTGCTATCCAGAACATTGTTCGACAGGGAAAAAAAAGTTTTTATGTAGTTTGAAGGAGGGGAAGAAGAGTTTTGTCAAGTAGTCAGTTACCTTCAAAATGAGAAAAAATACTGATGAGGGTCCACTCTGTGTAAAAATAGGGGTAAAATAGGATTTTTCTTTCCTTAAAAAGTAACCGTTGAACCAGTCAAAATGTTAATGTGCACCTACTCTTTCTTTGATTTCCGATCTGGGGTTTACCTCAACAAAACCGTTCGAAATCTGATCTCTGCACAACACATTTTTTTTGAAGGCACTCATTTTGAATTTTCATGGGGCTGGGATAAAGAGAAATGCATGCACAGACAAAGAAGGGCTAGATTGGAACATCACATGCCATGGTAAAATTATGAGGGTAGAGTTTTTAAGTACCCTGTAGACTGTGGTTTGTAGATGTGTCTTTTTCCAGCTTATTGTTTGGGAGGGGGGTCTTTTTTAATGAAACATGTATTTTGGTGCTTAGGAAATTGATTGTGTAGCTATTTCTTTGAATACAGTAATGAAGTGGATGGCAAGGTCTTGCAACAATTAGGTTGCTTGATCTTTGCTTCTGTAGGGGTTCAGTTTATGACTTTTCTTTGGGGGGGGTTGAGGGGAAGGGATTTCAGGGGTGGGGGTAGGGTTGGGGATTTGGAAGTTGGAGGGAAGGAGGGATGGGTCACTCGGGAAAGAGACAGACTGATAGGACGGGGGAAAAGATGAGTCGGGGAAGCCAACAAAGCTGTATCTCTGAAACTGGTGGCAGAAGTTTGATGCACTTAAGTCGCACTGGGAGGCTTGAACCCAAGGAAGTTTATTCATTGCTGCCATTTCGGTCAGAGTCGTTTTTCTCTCTCAAAATGGGGCAGGGATCGGTTTTCTGAGGGTGGGGAAACAGTTGGGATCAGGTCTGACGTTTTTCTATCAAGTATTTATACCTGTCTGAAGGATGTGTTGGCCTTGTTCCACCAAAAACGAAACTGAACTTTTTTTCTGAACTTAAGCTCTAGATGCACAGAAGGTGGCTTCTTTGAGAAGCCAATTTCCAGGGAATCATTTGTGTTGAGAACACAGTCAAGACATATCTTGCTGTGTTAACATCGATGACGCAGACAGGTTGGGGTTTGAAAGTTAAAAAACTAATTTTGTAAGAAAAAAAAAGTAATTTTTGTTAGGTATTATTGTGTCAGTTTATGTGCAGAATGAAGTGTTCGCTTCATTGTGGTCGTTTGTGACGAGGAACGTTGTTGACAGAGATTTGTCGGAATTATTATTTATGCGATAGTTGCACTTAAAAAAGGAAAACCTTGATGCAGTGTTAACTTGACCGTGTGGTGTCCAGGCATGGAGGTTTGTGCTTTAGTAAAAGCTTCCAATTTGAAATCGTTGGCGTGCTGATCATGCATCTGTCGAGTTCTTTCAACCAGCATTTGTTAGTTACGAAAATGCCAGTCACACCACACCGTCCTGTTTCCAGTTACAATTCTTAAGACGACCAGACTTTTTGTTTGCTTAATTTTGACTTGTTTATATAGATTCTTGAGTGGAAGTAAGAAAAAAACAAACGGATTGCACTGGACATTTGGATTACACACAGAAATTGTTAGCTGCAAACAAATCTGACAAAATCGTGATGGGGTAAACACTGTTATGGTCAGTGTGTGAAAATTTGTGTCGTAAAAGTTGGTGTCGAGATGTTTCTGTGCAAAGAAAGTGATAGCATGGGTACCCGTATCGGCACTACGAACAGGATGTTAACTCGTGATTTTGACGTGCATCTTGCGTGAGAATTCTAGGAACTGGAATTGAACGTAGCATTTTCCAAACGAACAGTGCAGCTGTCTTGTTTTAAAAAATGTGTTGTCACTTTTACTTTTTTGTGGTCTCTTGTGTAAATGCTGGGGAGTTTTGACGGTGAGCTCATGGTATATTGATCTGACATCATGGACACTAGCATCTCATAATGTGAGACCGTAAATGATTGGTTGGGATTTTAACCGAATTTGCACGCACATGGAGATGGCCAGCAAATCAGAGTTATTGTTTAATCCTCGGCACAAAACTGGCCTCATTTTGTATTTGTGGAGTGAAATGAATGGTTTTTCGGATGATTGGTGGAGATTCATCTTGTCAGTGGGTCAAGTCTTCATGAAACAGTGCATGTGGTTGGACATTGTCCACGTTTAGTTAAGAGCACTAGCCAATCAGGATCAGCGTTGCATATGAGCATGGAAAGTTTGTGGACATGGTTACGGTCTACCCCATGGTTGTTCACAGTGCCAATACGGAGCCCAGTTCATGTTTAACATTTAACGTTTTAGCTCAAAGTTCCGATTGAGCTCTGTCTGTTTAACTGTTGCTACGACTAAAGGAGACAAAAAACACGATTACTACAATTATTAAACGGTTACATTTAAACTTTAACAAGCACGGAATAAGTCCGGTTTGGAACATATATTTGTGATTACAGCAAAGATGGTTTGCCAACATTTTATGATATTTAATAATTGTACATTTCTTGAGAAGAATATAAGAGAAAGCAGCGACAAAAGACACAAGTTGGCATAGTTTCCCAGAAGGCTTCTGCAAATCACAATTATTTTGCCGCGACATTCCGTGCTTATCATAAAGCTGGAAAACTTTATAGACGAAGCATTACCCGACTTAACCTTTTTTGTGGTAATTGCCCTTTAAATGCTAAAGAAAGTTTAATGTGTTTTTGTTTTCAGTCTCAAATCCCCTGATATTGTTTTGTAGTTTCAAAGCCACTCAACAAGCCCAGTTCAACTTTTTGGTTGTTTGTTTTCACTGCAGTTGGGTTTAAAAAGGTCTCCTAATTCGAACAGTTCAGAACTTTTAATCACCGCAAACTCTGTCTTGGAGAATAGTAAGGATATGTCAATATTGTTAACCCAGTCGTCGTTTGGTGAAGTTTAACTCTGAATGTTTGACCGGGAAATGTCTGCTTGGGTTTCACCAGATACCCATGAAAGTTTCAAGTTTCCTGTCTTGTCCAAGAGTCTTACATCGGCATTCAGGGATTTCTTGATGAATTGGTTATTTACAGTTTTATGGTTTCATTGATCCGTTCGCAGTTTCATTTTGGTTGGAGGCCGAGGCAGTAGACAGGCTAACCCTGTTCACATTGTGTTCCAATGCATGGGATTGAAGTCGGGATACCATGCTTGCTGTCAAAACGCAGGTGTTCAGAAGTTTGAATTCACCAAACCAACGCAAGGTTAACAGTGTAATACCAACTGATGTGACATTCATTGCCATACGTGCTTTATTGAGTTGCGATAGCATAAACAATAAACCAGGTCCCTTAGACATCTATTAAACTCAGAAAAAGTTGTACTTCGCCCATTTTTTTATGTGTCGAGAAATGTAGCAATCTTTTTTTACAAAGCAGTCCGGGCATGTTCATGTACTTTCCTATGGAAAATGGTTCGATTGTCAGACTTGAGTAGAGATCAGTCCTTGCGCCTCCTGCAAGCCTCCACCATTGCTTTGTCAGACTCTCCTTCCACAAAAATTATTCAGAGCCACGATGTTAGCCTTTGTTCTAGTCGGACTTCCGCATTGCGTTTATGTGTAAAAGGGAAAAAAGCAGCGTACCAGAATACATGTGTACGAACTGTACAGAAATAGGATTTGTTGTCTTGGAGGCGGGGTTTGAAAACACAATTTTCAGGTCGTCAGAATCGCAGTGAATGTTGTGTGGAGGTTACTTCAGGTTCTTAAAAAGATTCATAACCCATTGCCTTCCTGATCTCCTAATTCATTTAAATGACATCGCTCAGTTCCCTCCACCCTATACAAATGAAATCGTTCGGGTGATCATCAGGTGAAAAAGTTGACCCCGATGGCGCGCTTCCGGAAGCGTCGGATAGGAAAAATAACGTGCAGAAATGTTAGAATTTGTAAGTTTTTTCGTTCAGTTACTTCTTAAAAACTCTACTCTTAAGAGGCCTTTTGCAAAAATTTGCTGGCGTATCAACTTGGCAACTGAAAAATGACCTGACCTAAAAAAAGGAATATCCTACCAAAAACTGACCTTCCACTCCCGAAAATCTAACATACATGTAGATGAAGAACAGTGCAATTCGGTGGTCTCGTACCCAGATGAACAATTACGGAATTATTGTTTATGGTAGTCTTTCGGTAAAAGCCATAATAAAAACAGACGAGAATATGTTTAAGGATTTTGAAATTTATAAGGACATAAACTTAAACAATAACATGCTTTTACGAAAGATTCTTATGAATAATCTAACCTTGCTGACAAGAACTGCGTCACGTCACATAAACAGAATCTGGAACCATCGACTGCAGGTACGTAAATCTTTGCAACGTTGTACGATCTCGTTTCCACATAAGAACGGGGAATGAAAACAAACGTGCATAATCATTGAGACCTAGGAACGACTCTGCCGGAAGCGCAAGGTCGTTAATAAAATTCGTTTTTTACCCATCTCCAGATGACTTTTCCTAAATATTACTTGAGGAGGACAAAGGGAAAATTCCAACACGATTTTTTTGGGGGTGGTTTCAGTTAGAAATAATTCTTCCCAAAATTATCGGATGTTATAGGACGGCCCAATGTAAAATCCCCGTAGGCGAACCGCGCGAGGTTCCGAAAGCTTGCTGCGTGACCTTTTACTTTCAGGCGATTCACAATAGTTTGCCTTCAAGAGTTTGCAACGCGTTGACCAATCACAGTGCGTGAAATCTGTTGAACTTTTCCAAACATGCTAGCGCTAGCGCATTGGGTCGCCAGATTTCTCGCATGGTGATTGGTCAAAGCGTTGCTAACTCTTTGAGGCTCGCTATTGTGAAACGCCCAGATTAGAAATTCTAAACGCATGAAGCACAGGGACGCATTAATACTGACTACTTCCGGCAAAAGCTTTTCTTGCATCAAGCGATTGGTCAGAAGGGACATACAATCTTTTTTTTACAACTTTGAGGATACACTCTAAAGGTGCTGCTGTTATTTCTGTCGAGGAACCTAGTATCAGACTGGCTGCCTGTCTCCGCTACCTGCCAAGGTTTTTCTTGATATATTCTACATGTGGTTGAAGCTTGTTTAAAAGAATTTTCTGTTGAGATGTCTAATTTTACAAAACTGTGCTTAAAATGTGGTTTTTGTTATTCTGCTTGATTTTAGGGTGATGTCTTCTTCAAAAAAAATGCCCAGATCTAGCAATTTCCTGCTGAAATGGTCACTCTGATTGATGCTGAAATCTAGCGCCCTCTTTTGACAAGCTGTCTAATGACATACCCCCACGAACGAGCGAGGATTTCTTTGTAATTAAATAAAAATGTTATGCTGTAGTTGTTCATACGGTGCAATAGTGAAGTTGTGCAAGATTTGAAAGAAAAGTTAAATGTGACAAAAAGTAAAAGAAGCCAGTGGGCTCATTAACACTTTATTGTCAGTGTCTTAAAGGGTGTACCAAGATATTTGCCAAGAATGGGATGGGTCAGTCGTTGGAAATATCTCTGGGAAACTCTAAATTTTATTTTTTTTTTCATTGTGATCTATGCTGTACTGAAAATCATTTCAAGACTCTCCACTTAGAATTATACAGAAAAATGGATTTTAAATAAAAGAATCCTACGAAATGTTTTTAGTCTTCCAATAGCATTAATTTATTTCCAAAGCCCACAAAATCGGAACACTTTCTTGCCTTCCGAGATTTTTTAAAATAATTTTATTCATATAACGGGCCTAAATATTTTCAGGGGCCGTCTTTTCCCTTCTCTGCTTCTTTTGGGAAAGCTCCTAAGTTAGAATATGAAAGTTCATTTTTCGGGGTGCTGTTCTTAAAAAAAATCGGACAGTTCTTGGTATTGTGTTCATGAGGCAGTGGCAAAATTACATGGATGTCTATGCCACCGAAGATCTAACCCCTCAAAAATGAAATCTTGACATGAACAAAAATAAATACAAACGGCAGCCATTCTTCTTTCAGTACGGCCCCTTGAAATAACCCGCTGCAGTTTCACCACAGTTTATACGCCACTTAACGGAAGAAGGAAAACTTTGCTCTGTGTTCATGTTCACGCGAAAGTCGCTCCTTGTATGAGGCAGAGATCCCTTCAGAAATCCTGAGAATTAAACCGAAGCTTAGAGAGATCATCCGCTCTAATCGTCTATACAAGGCCCACTGTGTTACACCCCGAGGCGGTAGGGAGTATCGAAACGCCCGCGTTGACACTCATTACCGCTCCTAAGACCCTCTCAAAAACACGGAAGGGAATTAAACTAACAACCAAAGGAAAGAATACTTTGGAATTAGGGTATTAATGTTCGACATGGGTGGAAACACGGAACGACAGGTGGGGCCTTTTGTCCGGAAACTGTAAACATCCCTTTTCAGGACGATAAAACTCATCCTAAGGCTTTTTGAGTCACTTTCAATCCTAGGGGATGACCACCGTTGCCCAGCGTGGGAGGTTTTTCTCACCTTTTCTGTCAATACACAGCCAATATAGACAAGTCCTCAAACAGAATTTTCAACATAACTTTGATGTCAATCTTCAAATACACGAAAACAATTTTTCAGATCATTAATTAAATTTTATCATTTTCTTTCGGATGACTTCTCCCTTTGTCTTTCTACAAACAGGTGGAAATTTGAACACTGTGCCAAAATTTGTGGGTTTACAAATTTCAAACTTCAGCCCCGCATTTTAATTTCTCTCCATAGATCAACTACTGAGCTTTAGGCCCAGCAGCATGTAGTCAAATTGAACGCGACCCCTTTCTGAGAAGCAAATAAAAGAATATCAAGGTCCTTTTTAAATTCATCGCTTCTGAAAATATGAAATTGCACGGCTGAATTTTCTTGCAGGAAAAAAAAGACAAGAGTACTAGGCAGATGGATGTCAATCATGAAAAGATCTGGCAAAATATCCGGAAGCTGAGCTGTTCCGGCAGTGTAACAGAAAAGCCAATGGCAAAGCATGGTCATGAATGGGTGGATTTCTTTCTTACAGATTTAAACGACCAATAAGATACTTTGTTCTTTCCAGTCACTTGCACTCCGGGTCTAGACCGTACGGTCTGCCCCCGACATTCCTCAGCGATCGATGCGCTGGTGAGAACCAGGTGGTAAGGGGAAAAGCAGAATGGTTAGATTTCCAACAGAACTGAGAACAACAATTAGAATAACAATTAGCAAACCGGACATCAAGACACGCTTGGAATTCCTTCAAGCCGGGGGAAAAAAACTGAGGATAACAAGACAAGAAATTAAAATCAATTACTGGTAAACAAAAGACACTGCCGACGACTTCAATGTGAACGGAAGTCTTTTGTTTGGGTGATCCAAGGAGCGACAAAACGAATGATCGTAATCGCATGCTTCGACAGTGACGCGCAGGATCATTTTTTGATCATGAGAAAGTCTAGAGGAAGCTATACATTCCTTAACGGTTTCGTGGACCATGTTCTTCACAAGCATAAACAGTAAACTTGCAGTTTTTAGCTTGAACGTTATAAAACACTTGGATGTTTCCTAGCAGTTTATTGTGTTTAAGCTTCATTGTTGTCTTTTGTCTCTGCAAAACAAAACAGAAACAACCAAACAAAATTCCAAACCTTCCTAACTTGCAAGAAATAAAGCATTGCCCATTGGTGCAAAACAAACAGTTTCTTTTGTGTTCAATTTTGTATTGTTTCAAGGCATTTTTGTCAGTTGTCAAATGCCACTGCCATGGCGCACTTACCAGCTGAATCGATTGACTAAACTTTGATGAATTGCAATTTCTCATAATGTTTTTCTTTGATTTGACTGCCTTCCTGAGGGTAACCCTTTCCTTCTTCCCGACAGAAATCATTATTTATTCAGTGCGTTGCATGTTTTCGTCGGCCACGAAGGCTACCGTCTTCAGTGAAGAGGTTTGTAACCTCACAAAAATGCCATCCCTTGTGAAAGAACCAGATCTCGTAGAGAGGAAAAAAAAGAAACTGTTAGATTTGTATCGATCTTGGTCGTTCACTGCCGCATTCATGCTCGTAGTGGTTGTTGAAAACAGGGTGTCAACTACACTTGTTTTCGCAGTCGTGTTTCTGAAGAAGTTTCCATAATTAAACGATTGCAGAGTCCTTGATGCGCAAAGCTAACGGGCGCAAAGCTGTGAGGAACTTCCATTGTTGTTTCACCTAGCATCTTTTCAGCAATAAAGCCGAACACGTGCACCACCATGGGTGTGCACGGAAAGTCTAGCATCCCCCGATCGTACCGGTACCGCGAAGGGCGCTCGTCCCCCAGCGGGATTAACAAACCGCTTCCCCCGGGGAGCCAGTCGATATTATCGACCAATGAGACTCATCTCGATTGATGGGGGGGCGATTGCGATTGGACACAGTCGTAATGGCAGCGTAATGGTGTCACTCAGACAGTAGAACAATGACGGACTCTATGCTCCTACGAATCTTCAAATAAAACCCTGTTGTCTTTCTGCAAAGAATTATTTCAAATTGCCGACGTGCGAAGAATTTTCATCGTACTCAATTTTGTCACAAGTTAGATTTCTTTACCTTAAAATTAACAGAGTGAAATGAAAATACGGTTTCTGACATCTGGGCAACCATCTAACTGCTCCTCAAACTGTGCCATCTCTGTCGCACGGGGGCTCCACTCCCAAACTTGAAGGACTGTGTTCAAACTCGGTGAATCTCGCAACAGATATTTGCATATCGGGTCGATGTGGACGAGCCAAGCACACCAAATCCAAGACAACACAAGAGTGTTACCCCTTTGACAGATGTGCCCTTGCTGTCATTCAACGTGGCTCGATTACCGATGAGAATACTGTAGAGGGGACCAGGACACCGCATTTGAACAGAAAGGTAAGATAATTATTTTTCCCCTTGCACTTAAGGGCCTCACCGTTTTCTTAGTCGGAGAATTTAAAACCCCGATGTTAATTCGACCGCCGCGGTGCGAAGACAAGCTTGCACACCTGCTTCAGACAAACCGCGCAGCGAATCAACTATAGTACCACTCTTGTCACAGCTCGGAATCGACGCTGCTCTCCTAAAGTGTTGTCAAATCCAGAATGCCTTTTCTTATTTATCCCCTTAATGCCGCTGCAGAGATGAGGTTTGTAATTTTTTTTCTGGTCCCCGGTAAGCTAAGATGTCATTCGAGGATCTACTGCACAAACCAATAGCTGCGGGCGCGTCGCTCACACGTACGTTTGATCGGCCACCCAGCGAAGTGATAGCAAAGCGCACTGCACCGATCGAAGTACATGTATATCTATAGATGCCTGGCCGTCCTTCGGCGCTCATTCCACTTAGTGTTCATTTAATAAACAACAACCGAAAAAAGCTTATCCAAAGCTACATTAAAATCTTGTAAACTCTAAATGAAAATAAGATATGTGGAATAACAAAAGGGAGAAGACGACTTTTACTAAAGCAATTTTAAAAGCAAGAGTCTCCAGCCCTGACAAGCGTTATTCCCTTTGTTGTAAGGATAAAATAATCGAAATTGTTTCGTGGTCAGTTCACTTGATCCATTAGTGCTCCAGCTTTAAATCCGGCCATTTTGCCTCATTAACATTATTCAAATGAATACGCGGATCACACACACACATGGACCAAGGAAGTGCGTAGCTGTCACCTCTCCGTTTCGCTGTGCGTGTAGATAGTGACCTCACCAAAAGGTCACCTCGATCCACCTTGTTAGCACCACACTGCATCCCACCAACAGCTGGCCAGGTTCCTCCTGCTAGCCGTACACGAGCATTCAGCACACCCGTCTCAAGTTTTAAGCCTTTTTGTTGTATTTCGCGAATGAAGGGGCGAGAAAAAACGAAGAGACAGACGGACGTGTAGGAAATACTGGTAGGTTAGCCAGGTCACATGCCCTTGACTGTGTTTAGCGTCACAGGGAATTTTACACGAGAGAACACTGGTAAAGCTAAGGTAAAGCTTGTCAACAGCGCACTCAAGGAGCAACAAGCCGTGTTCTACCCAGAGCTTAATCACTCGCGCAGATGGCCTGGCTGAGAGAAAGTACAGTAGTCAGCGACATTCATCGTGTGGCAGGCAGTCCATAACCGGGAAGCCACTTCCACCGGGTGCAAACAAATTCCCGGGACGAAAAAAAAAAGTAAAAAAAGATTTAGCGGCGTCTCACAAGGCTTGGTATCTCCCACAGATGGAACAGGAATGTACTACTAAGCGGAGCTAGCTCTGTGGCAGCCAGATTTTACGCGGGATTTTGATTTTTTTTGTGTCGCGTAATTATTGTGCGTGTGAGCTGACGGTGTCTGGCCGGATATTTTCGGCGACCTCACGGGTGCACCCGGGATTGCGTGCCTGGTGTCTCTATGCCGCTGGTGTTTTGGATATCCCGCAGTGTGTAGCATCTCAGCTAACGTCGAGAATTGGACGGGTTTAAAGGGGTGAGTAACGTACATGAACATAAAAACGCTCTGCAATGCTATGTTATTTCCCGATGCAGTAGCCGATAGTGTTAGATCTCGACTCAGTGCACAAACTCGGTAGCGTAAGGCAGTAACGTGGACAAAGTGAAGCGTGATGGCGAGCGTGATCAACATTGGTTGGGGGCTGTTCGAGTCGACACACCAACTCTCAAGGTTTTGGATCACCAGACCTCCGTGCGATATTGTTTGTGTGGTCTAATTATCTTCATGGTGGTGAAATTGGACAGCTGTTGCAGAGGAGTCCTTGTGTACAAACGGGTCGTACTGCGGACATAAAACCGCGCACATGATAAACCATTCACCAATCCTGCAAGCATGTTAAAGAACAATAGTCAATACATTGAAGTTCACTTTTAACTGCGTTTTTTCCCAGAAGCGACACAAAATCCTTTGTCATTGAATCATTTTACAAAATAATTTGCTTGAGTTGATCAGGGGAAACCGTTCTCATTACTTTTGGCTTGAGTACCTTCACATGACTGGTGCCCATCAACCTTTCCTGCACCAAAGTGGTACTCCAGGTATCCGGCGACCACCGTAGCACACGGAGAAAAGATCGGTTTGAAGCGACCTAATTTACGACGGCACCTTTAAGTGTGTCGGCCTTTGTAGATAATGATAATGGAATTCCCGTCTGTTCGGCAAGCATGCGCGCCGCATAGTGTGCTATCAGTTGCCGGAAGGTCAAGTTTAAAAGGATTTGACACCGCGCTGTACTTTTAGCTAATTATGCCATTATAAGAGACTACGCTACAGGATTGTTTGAATTAAAACACTCGTGACAACTTAATCATCAGGTTTTTCATTGGTAACTGCCTTTACCGTGGTGCGTAACAACATCGAGAAATAGATCGAAACACTGAAGTGTACTTCCCTCCAAAAGCTTAATGTTTGAAGAGCCAGAAATGCAGTAATTAACGTAAAGACTAGATCTTTCAGCCACCTTCTTGGTTAGTTTGCCGTCTCTAATCTCGTGCCGTCCTTAATCCTAGGCCATAAAACTTCCCTGCGCAAAATGAAAAAAAAATCCACTTTGGCAAATCGTAATTTATATGGAGTCAGCTGCAACGGCTTTTTGCACAGCCGTTACTTCTCCCGAGGGGCTGGACGCAAATAATTCCAGAGGTGCATTCATATTTTATACTTTGTAATAGACGACATGACAAAACGAAGTTTGATCGCATAGCAACGAGTCCGGGTGGGCGAGCCTGCACCTTCAAACGCACACGCGCATAGGCCTACACGAAAAGACCAATGATGTCTGGTCGGCAGTAAATTAACCGTAAACAATTAGCTTCGACGCGAAGAGGGAAGAGTTGGACCATAGTTAAACAATGCACTAAATGAAGCGTGCTTCTTTCGTATCGAATCGCATGCAGCATGTGATAAGACAGGCCGTATCGTATCGACTATTTCCACTGCAAGACATACGATCTTTGGTGTTCCGATCAGGTAATGTATGTGGACATGTACATGTACATGCATACTTAAACCTGCGTGAAGCACAATGCGCTACTGGGGTTTCTTGGATATTTTTCGAAGTTTATAGGAAAAGAGGTTCTCCAAGGTAAAGCACCATCAACTTTGTTTTCAAAATTACCAAAAGTGCTATGGAATGCTTTGCAATGTGAAAGGAATTTTTGAAAGTGGCGATGCGAATGATCTAAGTTAACCCACTTTGACACGCACCCGTGGCACCAAACAAAATGCAGTTTCATGACTAATATTGAGACTAGGGCCGTTTTAAGTGGTACCGATGTCACAAACCTAGCCGAATTGCTGTCATGATTGAATCCATTTGTTTATACTAACAGGCAATCAGCTATGTAAGTGTACATGAAATTTCTGATATCCACGTATATACAAACGCTGCCGTGGTATAGAGAATTTAAATATGAACCCAGAATTTGACATTTCTGTATTTTGGGGCTTATCCTTGGTGCCATACGCGGTAAATAAATGCTAGGCAATAATTTGTGGGAAATTCCCTTAAAATTAGCGAGTCCCCTTTTCACTTCTTGATGCCACGACGCTTTCTTGGCGCATAGAGCTAGGGTTGGAGGGGCATGCAGGCCGTACGACGCCGTATGACCCTGCTCCCTCTCGCCCCCAACAGTGTCCCATCGGGGGTTCTCTCGGTGACCGGGTCAGCCATAGTGCATAGGTCATTTTTCCCCTCGGACGTCAGTCAGGTTTTCCTCCAAAAGTGTCTTTTCCTGACTCACGGGCTGTTTTTGTGAAGATGATGTCTTACCGCTGTGGAGGTTAACTGCTTGGCCGTATTTTGAGTCACTGGGCTGGTTTCACGGCTTGGAAGTTCCGGTATTATATGAGGTGTTGAAGACTTCGTTATCTTGTGTTGTCGGGAAAGTTTGGAAAGTAAACCAATGTGGACACAAAAAAGTCCCTTTTAAACGGGCTTTCGTGTAGTTTCTGATTGTATTGTCTGTTGTTGTTCAATTGTTGTCAACATAGTTCTAAAAACACCTGAAGACTATCGAAGGTTATCTGAGCCTGTCTGGTCAGACAGCGGGAATCTCACAAAAAAGTCGTCATTAAAGTTCTTGTTCTTCGAGGAATGCCTGAATTGGGCCTTCATCTATTCTGAAACTGAAAGCTTCAGTATAAGAAGAAACAGGTATTATCTTCCAAATCGACTTTAAAGTCTCGAAGAGAGATCAATGAAGACCTTCTTCAGTCTGTAAACATTCCATGTTTGGTTTTTTTCTTTTTATTAACTTCAGTTTTTGACGAAATTAAACGTAAAGCGAACCGTCCATCAGATGGTGACTGTATACTTTGCTGTTAAGCACCTTTAAGACGACCTATATTCCCAACTCCATCGCCTGTTTTGGGCCAACTGTTCACACCACACCTCGAAGTCAAGTACATTCTGATAAAAAGTACCATAGAGTGGTTGTTCTACTTGTTGTTGAGCACATGACTGAGGCGCCCAGCGACTGAAAACAGTTCGCTCTGCGAGAGAGCGATGCGGATTAAAGCCGACTATGAGGTAAGCCATCGATCGCTCCGACCCCATGCAAGTCCCAGAGTGGCCCGGGAATTTGTCAAATTTTGGGATCCGATAGCTTCCTTCTCACCAGTCCCACCGAGTTGAAGCCACTTGAGACCCTAGGTCAGAACCCGAATCCGACAAGCAGGATTCGAGAGTCTTTCTTCACCATGGGTCAATCATACATATTGCGCACTTGACAGAAGATACTGACATTTGGACGGGCTGTGTGGTGGCAAGTTCATCTTCAAAGGAATATCTTTGCTGAAGCTCATTATTTAAAGCGATACCCCTTTTCAGTGAACGCGCAGTTTTATTCATTTTTGGTATTGTTCAAATAATGAAACTGGTTCTCATTGAGGAGTTTTCAACCACTTGTGTTCTTACTTCTTAGCTCGCGAGTCATTGTCACCAATGAGCACCGGAGGAGCGAGCTATTTATAGCCGTGTCCACAATAAGACAACACGGGCTCTGGGTATAGATTATTTTTGTATGGTGTAAACAAGAGGCCTGGAAGTTGGCCCTGAGTGAAAATCGAGGGGCTGGAGGGCAAACCATGCATGGATGGGGCAACTAAACATGCGCCCGTCTGCGACCCACGAGCCGTGCCGACGCGTACTTCAGGAAAATTCAACTGTTGGAAGGCGTCTGTCGATAGACGCGTGCTCGTTGCGTTTTGTCGTGCATGCATAAAACGAGAAGTGCTCAGCAACGTCATGAAAACTGATCCGCGACAGACCAACAGCAATCATATGGAATGGGAAACGGCGGCTGTGCTTCAGACCACGCATCGATACATACAGCTCGCTTTGTCATGCACTTCTGTTCGATTTCAACATGCAGTCTAACCTTGGCCACTTTGATTTGATCAGTAGCACAGAGTTCAACTTTAACTCAACTGGTAGAGTGTTATTAAATGTTTCACCCTGGAAATATTGGTTCGTTGCAACATGTAAATACCTTAATAAGGAATCTGTATTGGCAGAGATCTTGTTGGTACTTGTGTATAACTGATTCAGTGTTGTTGCTTTGATGGCACTTTCAGCTACTCGGGCTATTTGCACCAATAATACGTTTATTCATAACCTTTATTAATCAGCATCACATTGTACAGTTCGGAAGAAGGCCCAGTCTTAGAAGCGGGAAGAAACCGGAGTACCAGGAGAAAACCTGCGAGATCAAGTATGCTTGCCCCCCCCCATGCAGTGAAGTTCTGTGTTTGTATCTTAACAACGTCGCTGTAATGTTTTGTGTGCTCTATCATGATTTGCCTTTTCAAGTTGGTTATAAGGCCTGGCCTGTCTAGATCTTCAAGGACGGCCGGCCTTACCGGTGTTTCATAGCCAACAGTAACATTTCCGACCTCTTTTTTGTCTCAGTTATCAGGGAAAAAATGTTTTTAAGACTCGAGCAACAGATATGCGACTCAACATAGGCCCTAAGGTTGTGGTTTCGGTACGGCTCATGCGACCACTGACGGGTCCAAGTCAAGGACACCGATTTGCTGCGCTTAATATTCAAGCTCGTTCTTGGAACTTCAAGACTTGGCAGATTTTCACGAATTCAGGATAGGCGTTTCTAACAGTTCTTTAACACTTGCCCTTTTTGGCCGACAAATCCGGTCCGTAGCAGCTGTAAAGGCAGACACGTGGTAGAGACGCATGATTATGGAGACACTTGATAGTATGAGCAGGCCTTCAAAACTTTAGCCTTTACCTCGGTTGATTTATGAGCTCAGTCCAGACCTGGTAGAATCATTTCGGTAATTTATCCAAGAAGATGACTGGAGGAATCGAGGGGTAAAAAAAGTGGGCCCATGCAGGGGCAGTAAAGATGATAATCGACTTCAAGCAATACGGCCAAGGACGCTCGCTGGCGGGAAATTAAACTCCCCAACAGTGAAAGGACAAAATACTTTGGAAAGGCCGTTGACTCTCCAGTTTT